TCTTATTTCAGTCTTTTGTAGTCTCTCTATATATTTCAATTAGGCAACCCCAATTTTTGTTTCAGTTTGCATTTCCCAAAGATATTAAATTATTCAATCCATGATTTGAGTGCAGTCCCCTATCAGCAAGGATTTAATCACCTATCCCTGCTGAAAGACAAAGGACTGCACATCAATATACAGCTATAATAAAGATTTGCTTATTTAATAACTGGACATCCTAACTTCTAGTTACTCAGTCAAGAGGAATTCAAAAAACTTGAACCACAGGGGCTTTTACACCTCCAAGGTCAGAAGAACAAAATAATGAGACCTTGGAAACAAAAAAAAAAAAACAAAAACCACCAACGTTTCTTTTTCTTGCTCCCCATTTTCCTATGAATTAAGCTGTAATCTAAGGCAGTGCTAAAACAGATTCACTGAAGCCCATCCTGACCTTGCCTTTATATTCAGAACATTCCAAAATCTTTCCAAGAACCAACACAAACCTGCTCCATATTAGTACAAAAAACATCACAAATCTTACATCTATGTAACTCTATTAGAAAGAATTAAAACATTTATTTACTGTTGCGACATCCTTCCTTCAGCTCTTTCGCCACTTTCATCTTCTGCAACAAACAACTCCGAGGACCTCCTCAGATGCAAATTACACATCTATAAACCTCACACTCAGTTTCCTATTCTCTTAGCAAGGCTTTCCTGAGGTTGAAGACAGATGCCACACAAAGGAACACTGATTCCAGCTGAACTACAAGGTGCTTTTTGCAGCAAAACTGGGTATGATACTCCTTTGTTCCTCCCAACAAGCTTCCCTTACGTGACCTTATTCCTTCAAAGAAATCATCCATTGTCTCACACATCAGAGAATTCTCAGCCGTCTAATTTCCCTCTGCTGAAGCTTTTCTCTCATTTCAGAGCAACTTTGATTGCAACAATGAGCCCTACTTAATGCAGATATTAAAATTTTCTTTGTAATGCAATGCAAAACCTTTGCAGCACGCCTCATCTCCAGACAAGACCAATTACTGAATATCTGAACACACTGCACACAGCCTTAGAGCCAGAAATCCTCTTCATTTGACCTCTTAAACTTGATGACACGCACTTGTCATTAGATGAAGGTGTCACTTTTGGCCACATCAAACAGTTATTTAATGCAATGAGTAGCAAGCCTTTCAAAATTTTCCCAAATGAGTGCCAGAAAAAAAACCTTGGTTCACTTTTAATGCATTTCTGAAACAATGTGGGGCAGGAATCTATAGTATTTAATTCTTTAAAATTCCAGGACAAAATGCAGTCTTGCATCCTTTTCTGGATTTGCAGGTTGCCTACAATCTGCCCAACTAGCTAGCAGGAAAATAGGGTTAGCTAATAGAATCATTCAAGCCAGAACAGAGCTAAAACACTTTGACATTTATTTAAATAAACAGAGTTCAACCATTTGAGGAGTTAGGACGTTCATCTGATCAGGGGGAGGATAAAATCTTAAATCTGCAGAGCATTTGCAGCATTTTCACTGATAAGGCAGCCATTGTTTCCGAATCCTTTGAGACAAATTCTCACTGTTTTTTTTTAGCAGTAAAGCCTTTTTACTCTTAACTTCAGAGATTTTTCACTCTGCATTCTGAACTCATCAGGACAAAAAGCCCCTCCCTGTCAGCTTAGTGGTGCCTCGCTCCAGCAGATCCACTAGAGGGAGATCCTAAATAAAACAACCTCCAATTATGCCAGCAGCCAGTAGAACAGCTGAGGATGCCAACTAAAAGATCAATGACATTTTTCAAATATACGCAAGAGAAGGAGAGCATGATTTAATTTTATTTTAAAAATAGAGAGAGAGCCATACCCAACAGCTGACTTGCAAACCAAAAGGATGTACACAACTTAATCTTTAATATCTCTCAGAAGTCGTTTAGATTTCTGTGAACCCTTGCATAAAATTTAAAATTCATCTACAGCTTTATGAATTTCTAAATAGTATGCTCAGCTAACATTAAAACCGCTTTCCTTTTATGAATAAAATCCAACATAGAATAAGCAAGCTAATAAAAGAAACTGCCAAAATGAGAAAGCACAGCAGAAAGCAAGGATACTGCAAGAATCTAACTTTAACTGGACGTAATTCTAGAATAAAAGGGAAGCTATCTATGTGGGATTTCTTTATTTTGAGTTGGAGGTTCTATATATCGTTTTGGATACACTAGGAAACACAGCAATTTATTTAAACTAATAGAGACAAGTTGTCATCTTCAAGTACAGATTTTTGAAGCAGTAACATCAAAACACCAGTGAGGACTGCATGTGTTAGAAATTTTTAAAAGCCAAGCAGATACACTGAAAGAAAAAAAACTAACCATATATAATGTATTGATCATCACATATGAGTGTAAGTTTATTTTATGACACATACCCTCTCAACACCTTTTCAGAAAGAGAAATTTGTTTATAAAAGGGAGGCAGATGCAATCCATTTCCTAAAATGAAGAGCTAATATTAGAGCCTTAGAGACAGTGACCTGTCTAAGTAAATATTCATCTATTTCAGAGATGCTGGGGCGGGGGGAGGAAACCAACCTAACACCAAGGATTCATTTCTAGGTGCACTTTTAGGAAAATTATACCAACTAGAGAGAAACAAAATTCACTGAACTTAGAACAAGGAGCACAATTAGTTTGTTTCTAAACTGCAAGCCACTTAGTAAACTAATGCCATTACTGAAGCAGCATGTTCAGAAAGATACTTGATCTTTTTTACTTCTTACACTGATACAGGTCAGAAAAATTATGTAATCATACATTATATCATACATCTAGATCTTACATTGACAAACTTCCCAGCTGATATAACTTAGGAACACTTGTTGACAGTACTCTAACACAGAAACATTATGAACATTTATCTTTGAACATTGTCTGGAAGTGATATGAGGCTGAGAGAGCAATTCCTGTGCCTTATTAGGGACTTTCTTTAAAGCAGTACTGTAAAACTGCTCACCTGCTGAAACGACGTTGATAATGTTAAGGTTTGGGTTTTTTTCCATGTTGTTGGAGCTAGAGCACCTGTGACACAGGTGACAGCTAATCTTAAACCACCACAGCCCTTGGCTGACAGGAGCCAGGGAAGAACAATTATCTCCCGTGCTCACCATCAGCTTGTGATGCAGCTAATTAATGCATTTTGACTTGTGCCTGCTGCTACAGAATCAAATTCACGAGAAGGAGGAACAAAGTGACAATCCTGTAATTCAGAAAAACTTAAAGGCTACACCCAGTCACTTTCAAACAGTTTCATTCACGTCCATTTCAAAATTGTTGAGAACAAACCAAAGGACAACAGCACTCTAGTCAGCAACCAGGCTGTGGTAAGTCGTACACAGTTATGAAATTTTACAGTCATAAAATTTTAGTTTTACCCCGGTCTTTACAAATGGAAGTGGCACCTCTGTTTATTAAAGTTTCTACTACTGAACAATATAGCAATGCACAAATATCTTGCATAAAGCAGCAAGAGAACGAGTCATTAGACAAATCACAAGGCACAAAATGAAAAAAGAACACACTGTCTAACTAAAAAATAAGCAATGCCATGCCTGCCTATGTCATTTCAGCCTCTCTAGCAGCTCAGGTTTTGTGTTATGAGGAGTTTAACTGGACTATGGAGATATGTATATGCATATATACACCCTGAAACACGTAACAAATTCTTCAAGTACAGGTAATGGGAAAGAACTTAAACCCCTCAAACCTGTGGTAATTACCACCAATCAGGCCTTTTCATCAAAAGAGTACAAACCAACACTGCATGATGGTTGGGAGACAGGTGATGAACAGCCAGAATGCATGAAAAGTTTACAATTGAGTTACCCTTAGGGAAAGCAGAACTGAGGGATTTAGAAGAAAAAACACCCAGCTGAGAGGTAGGAGACTGGGAATCACAACTGGGTTATTTTAGCAGGCAAAAAGAAACCTCCTAACTCTAGCTACCATTTCTATTTTGGCCTCCTATGTTGCATAACAATGCAAGCACTGCAGAATGTATCATCCACAGTCTAGACAGCTTATTTTCAAAAGGTAAATCTTGAAACGACTACCAGAATAAAAAACAACTTATAAAACCACCTTTTTTGCTGTAGTTAAGACAGCCCTAGCATAGTTATCTACAGGCTCTCGTCTACACAAGCAAACTGGCACACAAGTACTGTCTCTTGTTACACGGGCAATCTTTAAAGTTTAATGAGGACAAAAGAATTCTATTTGATTACAAGAACACAAAAGACTCTTAGTCTTTTAAAAGAAACTCCCTCTGAGTGTGTCACAGTGTTATACTGATCAATTTTCTGTAGAGCCTATCTAGAATATGTTACAGATATCAGCAGAAGACTGAAAGGCAGGAATTTTCCCACTACTGTTTTAAAGCCTAGGTCACCCTGGTCTTCAAACAAATGAAATTACAGTCTAAATCATATGTGCTCATCTGAATGTTAACCCTGGAGTCAAGGTCTCTGAGCTAGAAAACTCTGTATGGTAAGAATACCTGAATTTCAAAGTTTGGAGGAAAATCAAAGATTGGAGAAAAAAGAATCTTCACATTTTTATAATAAACCAGTAATCAGTGAGAAGCAAAAATACCAACACACAACAGGAACCTGGATGTCTCTAGAAATCCTGGAAAGTATCCTTGTTACAAGGTACATGCCTCTTGGGCAGGTGTTTTTATTTTGCTTCCTTAAAAAAAGGCAAAGCCAGCAGTTTCTGTATCTAATATAGAAAAACATGAAAATTGATTTGCTTGCTAGGAAGTGCAATTACAGAGATGTTAGTTGAGTTGAGAAGCACTGTTAAGAAGCAGAAATTAGTTAGACAAAACACCCTAATAATTAAAACTTAGAGGCTTAATAACAATTAGAAACAAGACTTACAGACTTTTACGCATAAACATTTGAATTTTTCTGTATTTGAACAATCTTAGGGGAAAATAAATAGTGAAGAGACTCTTACCAGCTTCCTGTGAATTTAATACTTCTAAGGCATGCATCATGGCACTTGCGAAGACATTGGCATCTTCTTTGCTGCCAAAATTCAGACCATACACCTGCCTAGCATCACGCCACTGGTGGAAGGTCTGTGTAGCCTGATTGTACTTCAGCCCTTTTGGAATGGCACAATTTATTACCACCTATAATCATAAAAAAATTAAAATTACTTATATTTAAAATTGCTGTTCCATCAGAAGTTTCAGCTTTAGGTAGACTTTATTCCTCCACCACACGGGTTAATTCCCGACCCATAATCAGTGAAACACAATGCTGAAAGCACATAACCATTTCAATTTTAATTCCAACACCGTCTGTAATCAGTGATGGGAATACACAAGGGGACTAATGAAATATTTTGTATCAACTTTTGCAGCTTAAGTGTTCTCACTTCAAAAGATGCAGCAATGTTTTGTAACAGCAATGTAGTAATATCAACAGCTCTGACTTCCAGCAGCAGATTACTTGATGTGAAATATGCATCTGAAACTCAAACTCATTTTCCCATGAATTTCACAGGGTATTTGTTAGGTTTCTTTTATAACCAAGTTATCACCTTCTCCCTGTGGCTGCTGCACGCCTTGGCTTGCAGGGCCTTCAGCAGCAGTTTACTGGATTTGTACCACGGATCACAGGGTATCATTTTGCAAGATGGCTCACACAAAAGATGATAAATTCGAGCTATTAGGGCAACCATTTACTACAAGCCATCCACTAAGAGGATCCCATTGCACTTGGGTAAGTATATCATCTCACCTTTTTCTGCTGAATAATGGGAGAAAAAAACCCCACATTTGCTCTCAGATGAATGCACAGAGACCGTTTGTTACTCAGAGTAAGTGTTTAATAACAAATCACAGAGGAGATTATCTAGGCTTCAGATGTGTGATAAATGACCAAGAACTGACCAAAAGAATTCTATGAAATGCTGGGAAGGAGGGAAACAAATACAAGAAGCTTTCCTCAAACAGAAGATTAGGTTTTTAACCCCATCCCAAGTATCACATGGCAGAGGACATTTACAGACAGAGTGCTAATTTGCCATTTAATCATGATCCAGTAACTTCATCAAGGAAATTAAGATGTAATCCCCTGTCACTCCCGTCTCACTCTCTTAAAGTGGTAGATGATCAGCACTACCAAATATCAGAAGGTTTTTTTGAACAAAATAATCTGGAGAAATGAGACCTCATGCATCCAAGTTTTCGTGAGATGGGAAGAGCTAAAAGAACTGCTGGTATCTACACAGGCTGCAGTTCACAGAGTAGAGTGGGGGAGAAAAGCTTTCAGGTTGCCACTTAAAAAGAACCAGATGACTTCTGTGTACACCACTAGCCTTTAAATAGATATCTGTAGGAAGAAATGGCAAAAGTACTATTGCCTTGGGGGTATGCAAAGTGCTTAGTTCACAGGGAAAAAGCAATAAAAGTTCTGCTACTCCAGTTTAAAAATGCGATTTATTTTTTATTGGTCCCATAATTTTGCTGAAGACCCAATACTCTAAATTTTCTGAGATTTCCTCACCTGATGATCCTGAATCTTCCTGCCCACTACTCTGAATGTGTTGTTGCCTGTGTGATGATATATGTGAACTCGGCTGAATCCGGTTGATCCACCAGCTGGTACCCATTTCTTGTTGGCATCATCGTAGACCATTACAGCAGCTCGTGCTTGGCAGATACTCTGTTCACTGTTAATATACAAAGTGGAGGAGAAAATAAAATTATTTGTGGCAAAAGTATCACCTTTCTGCTTAACTTTAAAAAAAAAAACCAAAAACAAAACCCAAAACGTTAATGCAATACTCCTGGCAACTTGCTGAAACCTCCACCTTTCTGAATACAAAACCACCAACCAGAACTTTGACATTTTGCTTATATGTGTTCATTCTGAAAGAATCAAAGATATCAATAACGTGTTCACTTCTTCTTTTTGCATTGTTTCCCCTTACAGATTTTTTCACCCTCCTTTTTCCTCACCATCAGCCATGAATTTTAATTAAATGCCATAACCATATACAAAGCTTTCTGCAAAGAGCAAAGAATCTGGAGTTGCACTAGCTTCATACAATCTACACTTCCCAGTGGAAATTACTTCCGCAAGAGATGAGAATTGGAAGGCCCTTGCACCTTTTAACATATAGAGAACAAACACACAGAATAAAGTCCAGCACAAAAATTTCACCAGCTATAAATGAATTGCATTTTGGTTTTGACACATTTTACAACAGTTGACACCCAGATGTAACATTTTCTCCCTGAGAAAAGGTTCTCCTGATCACCAAAAAGTGCAAAAATTCATCAGGAGATTGCTATCTGTAGCTATTCCTGATTATACCAGTCATCTGGAAACTGAGTTACAGCCTGAAATTAAAAAGGAACATATCCTAAATGTCATCATAAAAGAAACACATGAAACCAGACCATAACAGAAACAGACTATTTATTAGGAGAGTAAAGGGTGATACCATGCAGGCTGTCTTTACGGGAAATGTCCAAATGCAGACAGGAAATAAAAATAGAAAGGAATGATTTCTTATCAGTAAGTCAGATTCTCTGAACATACCACTCCAGCACATCCAATATTATAGAAAGCACATGATGCCTGGCTTGCAAGGAATGTGGCCTGCCATTTGGAAAACTGAGAAGGCTGAAGAGACATGAATCCTTCATAGGAAAGTAAAGGACTATTTCTTCATATTTTATGAAAGGGGGAAAGGTTGCCTCCCCCATCCATCTGTCTTGGGGTTTTTTGTGGTTTTTATTGATTGGTTGGTCTGGGAAGGGGTGTGTGTTTTGTTGGGGTTTTTTTCCAAAGACCATA